ACCTAAGCTCCTTATTGCTGGTCAATATAAAGAATAGACTAGGGTGTACCTATAGTTTAATTTTTAGAAACTACTCTAAAAATTGTTGCCTTAAGAACCTCAAGTGGCTATCCTTCCCTCAGAAGAACTTTCTAATTTTATACATTCATATATTCCCTCCCGCCACATCCCCACCTCCTTCCTCCACCTCTGTCCCCTAATAAGCTCAACCTAAGATATGTCGTTTCCTTTAATAGACCTGATTATATACATTCTATCTGGAAATCACCCCTTTGCTTTCTAAGATACCAACCCATCTTGTAATCAAACTGTTTGACGATAATGTTTTTTGTTTGTTTGTTAATATGGTGACCTCATGTTTGCAATGAAGTACTGGGTAAGATAAGAGACTCCATTTAGAGTCAGTAAAGTACTTTATTTTGGTAAGGTCCAAATTACTCCTGCCCACCAAATAGGGAAGCCCATATGCAATCATTTCTTTTGCTTTTCTTTCTGACCTCCCCAACCTTCTGTCCTCATGATAGTCTGTTATACATATTTACATCTTGTTTCAAGATTTATGTCTTCTGTAATGAATCTGCCTCTACTCCTCCTGGAAGACTTATGCTTTGCTTCCTATGTGTTCCCATAGTATGTTTTGATTAAAGCACATTTCACATTGTACTCTCATTTTATCTCTACCCTTCCCAAAATACGATGTCCTTTAAACAAAAGCTCTATTTTATTCTTGTCCATATTCCTAAAATTTGGCACAGTACCTAGCATATAACAATAACAACAATGCTAACAAGAAGATACAGGAAAAAAATCATGGTAATACCAAGTCAAAGATAATATTTATTGAGGTTTTATTATGGTCCAAAGTTTGTCTTGGTCACTTATATGTTAAAATTGTTTCTTGGTTGCAAGAAACAGAAAATTTAAAAATGAGTTAAAAATGAAAGAAGTCTACTTTTTCCTCATATTCAAGAAGTTCAGAGGCAGTAGGTCTGCACATAATATGTCCCTCGGTGGTAGCAAAACCCCAGACTCTTCATATCTTATGATCCCTGGTTGAATTCTACTCTGAATGTCTTCTCATGCTTCAATATGGATGTTAGAGATTCTGGAGATGCATCCATCATGCCTGAATTGCTGTCAGCCAAGAAAGAGAAGGGGGACAAACTCCTCTTTACCTTCTTCTTTTAAGATCTCTTTTCAGAAGTTTCATGTGGCACTTTGCTATTTTTTCTTTGATCTCTTGTTTTTCACATTTTCACTCCTACTTTCTCTGATGTCCAGCAATTTTCTGGGTCCTTGGTTGCACTATCAGCTTTGCACCAGCATCTTCATCATAATCCAGTTTGCAAGCAAGGGCAAGATCATGTGCTGCTTCCCAATAGCCTAGAAGTCTGTATGCTTTCCCTCATTGCTTGTAAGGCTGAGCTGAATCGGGATTTATTTCTATAGCTCTGTCACAGTCTCGAATGGCAGTAGTTACTTGGCTTCTGTAATCTGATGAAGACACTTGCTCTCTTGGCATACAGAGTGCCCAAGTGAGCATTCAGCTTAATAGCATCTGTGAACAAGTCAATGGCTTTCTGTAGTTCGCCATCATTTAGGGCATCAATGGTAGCCATTTTTTTATCATTTGCCAGATCGATCATTTCCTCAGTTATCTCTACATTTTCATCTCCCATTTCTTAAGGGGCATCAGTATGTGGTATAATCACACCTCACTGTAAAGTTTTAGACCGCTTCCTCACTTGATGGTTCATCCATCTTTGTTTTCCTCCTTACTATCTGTTTTTTCTTCTTTGATATTGTCTTCTGATTTCGTTTTATGAATAGCAGGTGGCATTATACCCTCATGCTCTCCACCCACTCCTGCAGAAAGTACATTTCCTCAGTGTGCAGAATACTCAGATCCCGCTTGCACATTTTCACCAAGGCCCAAAGCTTGTTCACTGTGCGGTCCATGGTCCAGAGGCAACGGGAGGAGGTGGGTGCAACAGAGGTTTCAGCCTGATTCCAGACATGGGTACTAGTTCAATGTGACTGTGTGGAGTCTAAATTCTGGGAAGCCATGTGACTAAGTAAAAATTGGGAATTCTATTAGGAAAGAAGGATGGAAGAATTGACATTAGAAGATAATTAGCATTCTTTGGCATATGTCTATTATCAAATATAACCCTCTAAACAACCTTATGAGTACTAGCCTTAGGGTACTGTTATTACTACCATTCATTTATTTGACAAATATGATTGTGCATTACTGTGCATTAGATGTAATTCTAGGGCCTTGGGATTTGGCAGGACACAAAGCATGTAAACCCTTGTCCCCTTGGAGGTTTTATTCTAGTTGGTAAGGCAGACATCGAACAAATACATATATAATATGCTATGCGGTGATAAGGGTAATGAAGAAATGTGAATCAGAGAAAGAGAATAGTGTATAATGTTTAACTTAAATAGAGTGACCCTGAAAGGACTTTGAAGAGGTGACTTCTGAGCAAGGATCTTTATGGAGCCGGATAAGCATCTGGGAGAGGAAGTTTCCAGGCAAAAGGAATAAAAACACCTCCAGATGATGGGTATCTGAGTGGCTCAATCAGTTAAGCACCTAGCTTCAGCTCAGGTCATAATCTCGTGGTCTGTGAGTTTGAGCCCCACATTGGGCTCTGCTGACATGTCACAGCCTAGAGCCTGCTTCAGATTCTGTGTTTCCCTCTTTAAAAAAAATTTTTTTTAAGTTTAAAAAAAAAAAGCACCTTTAGTTGGACCTTAAAAAGTTAGTAAAAATGCTGGTGAATATGGAAGTAAAATCAGAGAAAGAGAGAGGCAGGGTCAGACTACAGAGAGTTGTAAACAATAGGAAGTTTGAGTTTTACTTTTGTGTTTAATAGGGCCACTGGAGTTTTTGGGCTGGTGAGTGAAATGGTTAAATTTAGATCTGAAATAATCCATTTTGGTTGCTGCATAAAGTATAGACTCAGAGTGTAGGGCCAGTGGGATAGAAGGCAGAGGGAAAGCAAAGAAAACAAAAAGAGACTATTTTGAGAATGTAGGTGAGAGATGATGACGGCTTGGATAAGGATGGCAGTAATGTTGCATGTGATAAGAGGCAGGGTATACTCTGAAAGTGGAGTTGATGGATTAAATGTGGTAAGAGGGAAAGACACCAAGGGTTGTAGGTTTTTTTATAATATTTAATTTTATGTGTCAGCTTAGCTGGATCGTGGTGGCCAGTTTTTGAAATTGGTTCTCTAAACTTTTATTAAATTCAAAGGCACTAAGGACTACTTCCATTGGTAAAAAGAGCATGGATAGTCTGCTGTGACAACAGAGGTTCACAAAGTATCACCATTGGATACTCCTAATCAAATTCTTAGACAAGTTTCTGAATGACCATGTTTTCAGTATTTTGAGTATGAGATTGGCTAGTTTCTCCTAATTGTGCTGGACAAAGTGAGGAAACAAGAGGATGAACTTAGGGAATCAAATTTCCAGCTCCTGTGCTGCATAAATGACCTGAAAGTATCCCTGTCTGCCCTGAAAGAAACCCTTATCACCTGTAGCCAAAGAGCTGACATTGCTGAAAACCAAACTCAGAGTCTCATCCTGCAAGTGGTTGAATTACAATGCAAATTGAATTTTTCAACCTCACAGGGTGTCTGCTATTAAAGTGAGGGCATAGATTGGGAAGGAATGAGATCCTGAAAATTGAATTGGGGACATATGGGAAGATCCTGATAAAGCTGGGGACATTGAACCCTTAAACTCCCATGAGTCTTCTTTGCCAGTAGAAGCAACCACTCCATCCTTATCTGAGGAGATTAACCCTCCTCTGCCTGAAGAGATTGTAATGGCCTCCCCTAAGGTCGCTGCCTTGCAAGACACTGCTGATTCTCCTCTGAACCTACCCCTCCCCCAGTCCTCTTTGCTTCTAGATCTATCACTGGCCTCAAATTCCTGTAGGCCCCTGATGGTGAGGTACAAAGTGTAACCTATAAAGAGGTGGAGTACACTCCACAAGAATGACTTGATGTTTCCAATTTATATAAAGAGAAATCCAGGAAATATGGGTAGAAGTAAATATTAAAGGTGTGGCATAGTGGTAGAAAGACCATAAACTTGGATCAGGCAGAATTTATTTATATGAGCCAAGTAAGCAGAGATCTGGATTTAAAGTTGCAGCTTAGGGGGTTAGAAAGAGCTCTAACTGGGTCGCTGTTTGGATACCTGAAACACAAACCAACAGGCGACCCATACTAAATGAATTGAAATGCCTTGATAAACTGGAGAGAAGGAGATTCAAAAGCTTAGGGAGACTGGAATGTTAGAATGGATTTATCAGTTAAGATCTGTTCATCCACCCTAGGAGGGTACAGAGGACATATTTTTTCACCATGACTATGAGCAGTAACTTTGTGAGGGGAGCCCCAACATTCTTGAAGATCTCTGTGATTGATTTTCTCTGTAGGTCAGAAATTATAGTGGGGATAGCTGTCACTGAATTTGAAAACCTAAATGCAATGGAAGTAATTGAATTCCAAGTTGCCAGAGGCCAAGTGGTGCTATTTAGTCACCAAAGTCAAGGTGGACGTGGTTACTGTAATGGACAGCAGAATCAAAGCAGCAGTCAGAATATTATGACTTGCAGAGACCTACACCATTGGCTAGTTGATCATGTATTTCTAGGAGTAAAATACATGTAAGTCTACTAAATTCCTACTTGATTTGCATAAGCAGAGATTTCTAGGTCAAAGGAACAAAAGTCAAATTTGAATTAGAAAAGCAGAATCACAGACTCATAAAGACTCAGAACCCCTTGCACTGAATGAAAGAGAGGCCAGTTACCCTTGAGGAAGGACCTCACTACACTGTCAAAAATGTATACTGTTATTATTTCTCCTAGTCTATTCCAAAGGGATACATGGTCTTTTATCAAGGTGACTATGCACTGGGGAGAATAACGACTTTGTTTTTTCAGTTGTCAATGGCACTTTTACTTTTTCTTTTCAATATCCTGTTCTGTAGCTTCCTTGGCTCTGCTTTGCCTGGATGCCAAAGAGCCTGGCATGGGACATGGTAACACTGGTGAAGTTTTTCTCCTCCTCTATAATGACTCTAGCTTTCTCCTTCTTAAAGGAATTCCCTGCAGGCATGACCAGTCCTGTCAGCTGGGTAACCAATTTGAGTTCTTCAGAAGAGCTGTCTCCTTTCTTGGGGGCTGAGGGCTTCTTGGGGGAGAGGATGAGCTTAGAGTGGTACTCCTTCAGCTGAAACATGCTGTTGGCCTGCAGGGTCTTAGTGGACTTGCTCCACCTTCTGGGATCTACTGAAATCCCAATGGCCCGTGCCGCCACCTTGTGAATGCCAGCCACCCTTCTACCCTTTAACTCTTCCAAGCTGAATCCCCTGCCAGCTTGCACTTTGGTGTGATCCCTCACCATAGAGCACCTCACAGTGGGCTGGATGGGTCCACATACAGGGCATTGTGGATCTTCTGCACCAGCTGGCTGCCTGTCCTTGTGGAAGTCAGGCTTCAGGGTCATGCCATTCTGGCTGGGTGCCATGGTTGTTGCCTATGGGCCTCCTAAGAGGGAGAAATGAAAATAGTGACATTTTAGGATTATCGGACACAAGCTCTGCACTGACACCAAAAATATTACATATGCATACTATAAGCATATAAAAATATATACAATGAACATATATCTTTGTTTTTTTCCCTTTTCTCTTTATCATATCACATAAGATGTAATTCAATACATTACAGGATTTAATTATAAGGTCTAAAGAAGAAAAGTGAATGTTACTTAAGGACTTTGCATCCTTTTCTAGGGAAAATATGGTGTGTTTTGGTTGTACACAGGATATATGTATCATGTTAAGCAGAAGTATGACCTTATTATGGCCTTTATTTAGAGATTAAATATAATTTAAGTAGGTGCATATGGATGTCAAATTGATAAGGGGTCGATGGTGATGGTTAATTTTATGTCAGCTTGGCAGGATGTTGCCATGAAGATATTTTTTAAATTAACATTTAAATTTAATTTAGATTAACATGATTAATGTGATTAACATTTAAATCAATAGACTCTGAGTAAAGTAGATTATCGTTCATAGTGTGAGGAAGTACCTGCTAATCATTGAAGGCCTTAAGTGTAAAGACTATGGTCCCCCAAGAAAGAAGGAATTCTGCTTCCTGACTGTGTTTGGACTTAAGTTGTAACCTCAACTCCTCCTTGAGTTTCTAGGCTATTGGCCTTCCCTTCAGACTTGTCCCTCACAATTGCCTGAGCTAATAATTCTTTAAAAGACATCTGTCTGTTAAAAGATATTTTCATATCTTAACTGGTTCTGCTTTGTGGAGAACCCTGGCTAATACAGTTTTGATCTGAGCAGGTAGGTGAATTGTAACATTGATGAAGATGAAACAGAGAAGTGAAATGTGGTGGGGAGGGGAGAGAGGAAATGGAGAGAAGCATGAGTTTTATATTAGACATGCTAATTTTGAGAACCTTATTAGACAACCAAGTGGAGATGTTGAGTAAGCAATTGGTAAATGAGTTTAATGCTCAGGGGATATGTCAGAACTAGAAATCTAAAATTGGGAGCCATCAGCATATAGAAGATGTTTAAAACACTGGGACTAATGAGCTCATCTATAGAGAGAATGTTGATAGAGAACGGAAGAGAGCTGACGACGAAGCCCCAAGGAAGCCCAATATGTAGAGGTCAGGAAGAAGGAGAATCAAGCACAAGGAACTAAAAAAGGACAGCCAAAAGTACAAGTACAAGAAAACCCAGGAGATTATAGTGATCTAGAAGATAAATAAAGAAGGTGTCGTAAGAACAGGTGATTCATCAACTGTGTCAGATGCTGCCAAGAATTGGGAATTGTTCATTGGGTTTGGCACTGTGGAGGTCCATGGTGACCTTGAGAAACGGACTATCAGTAACTGGTAGGTGCAAAGGCTGATTGAGATGGGTTGCTTCCACTGCCTCAGATGGTATTTCACATGTTTTTCTGATCCTCAAAACTCTATTCGTATTATATATCCAGATGATGGCTTCAACTTCTATTTCATTGGGAGGAAGATTCAAAGCAATCAGAGGAAAAGTACAGTATTTCCCCATTATCAGATCTAGTCATCTGTTGCATTTTTATGTAAATCCTCATCTTCCCTGCTCCTATTTAACTCCTTGCTGTAATTTAACATCAACCTCCCAGAATGCACTCAATCTCATCCCCTCTTGCCTATTCTGACTTTCCAATTACATTTTCTCTTCTCCATTATTTTTCTCTCTTTACTGCATTGCTAACCTCACAATACAAAAATGAAGCAATTACTCCCATTAAAAAAAAAATCCTCCCTGGACTTTGTTGTGGAAAAGATATATGGCTCCTGGGTGCGGTGTTATGGCCTTCTTACCCTACACTGTGCTAGAACTTATCCAGTAATGCATAAAAATCTAAGCAAGTAACCATGCACTTAATATTCAACAATTTGAAAATATTAACAGTGAAAAGCTGAAATTAAAACCAACTAGTAGTCAATACAAATGCCCCCTCTGCTTCCCTGCCAATGTTTCTTTGCTCTTAAGTCCCACAAAACCCTATAGCACAACTCCTTAGAAAGTTGTCTATTCTTGCTATCTTTACTTCCCCAATAGCTCTTTTCTCTTCAACTCATTCCAGGCAGACTTTGCCCCTACCTTTTACTGATATTCCACTTCTCAAGGTCATTGTGGACCTATACTATGCCAAACCCAATCAACAATTCCCAATTCTCAGCATCATCTGACACAGCTGATGAATCCCCGGTTCTTAAGACACCTTCTTTATTTATTGTCTAGATCACTGTACTCTCCTGGGTTTTCTTATACTTATGGCTGTACCCCCCCCCCCAGTTCTTTGTACTTGATTCTCCTTCTTCCTGACCTCTAAATATTGGACTTCCTGGGGGCTCAGTCATCAGTTCTCTTCTGTTCTCTATCAACATTCTCTCTGTAGTTGAACTCATTAGTCCCAATGTTTTAAACATCTTCTACATGCTGATGCCTCCTAGGGAAACACAGAATGATTGTTTGCCATCACAAATTCAGAATGTCCCTGTTAGAATATTGAATGTTTTTCTTCAGTGATACTGAGATGCTATGGATTAGCTGCAGAGGGGTCAAGAGCCAGGTTTAAACAGAGTTAGAGTTTATCATGTAAAAGTTAGATGGATGGTGATAGGCAAAATTTTAAAGATGTCTCTCCAAGATCCCACCTGGCACTAATCTAGTTCCTGCTATAAAGGGACTTTGAAAATGTAAGGTTATTTATCAGCTGAATTTAAGATGAGATTATTCTGCATAATCCAGGTGGGCCCAATGTAGTCACATTAAAAGCAGAGAGGCAGAAGATGATCTAAGTATGATGAAGATTCAACAGAACTTGTTGGCTCTGAAATGTGGTGGTCTACATGCAAGGACCAGAGAGTGTCCTCTAGCAACTAAGGGTGGCTCCCAGCCAGCAAGAAAATGGGATCTCTGTCCTGTCCTACAACTGCATGGAAAGGTTTGGCCAACAACCTGAATGAGCTTAGAAGTGGATAATTCCTCAGAGCCTCCAGGTAAGAACCCACCAGACATTGACCTATAGACTTGTGAAATAAATGTGTTATTTCAAACCACTACATTTGCCTAGGAAGTAACGGTCAAATTGTTGATGGAATATGAAAAGGAGTGGTCATTCGTAATGGATTGTAGCATCCTACCCACTTAGCAAGATAAGGAAGGAAGAAGTAGGAAGAGAGGAAAGTTGAAGAAAGTGGACTAAAATTCTTGTTGAACTGAAAAATTACTGGAACCAGTGCTAGAGGAAGAAAGCTGGAAGGATAAGATCCAAAATATGGCTGTAAAAGTGGGTGGTAGAGATGGGATAAAAGACAAGACTTTTGGAAGAGGAAAGGGCAATTTATTGTGAAAGGACAGGATACTGTATGGATTATCTGTACATGTGGTAAAACCAGATAACATAGTGACAGATATAGTACCAGAGAAAAACCTATTGATGGAGGCAGGTGCTAAAATCTCAAGTGAACAGTAAGGAAAAAGCATGGTATCAATGGATGATTGTGTTATGGAGTGATGGTAGGCAGTATAGTCTTAGCATTTGCTTTGAAGAACATTGGATTTGGGGATGGTGACAGGAGAAATGATTTAGACACAGTAAGAGAGATGATTATCCTACCACAAAGCCCTTCACCACATGGGGTGCAGTGGTAGAAGAACAACAAAAGCAAAGAGACAAAACCCAGCTACTGTAGAAAAGAGCTTTAGGAAACCATTTTCTCTAAAAGAAAGATGATGAGAAGATTGCTTAGAAAAGTTTTGTTTGTTTTTGCCCCGATGAGGACCATAAATTCCAAAAGGAAGAGTGGAAGAGTTTGGTGCTTTGCTGGGGCAAGGGTGATGGTGGTAATGGGAGACGAGAGCTTGCATTAGATTCAGAGTTATATAAAAACATAGGGAATAGGAGTTCTTGTAAAAGATATCATATAGGTCTTGGACCTCTTGTGGAAATAAAATGTATAGCAGTCTCAGAGAAGGTAGGCCATTAATTCTAACTTTATCTTCCTTCTTGGGATCGATTTTTTAAGGCTATGGGGCTGAGCTGATAGTATTGCAGGGGTAGAAATTAGTGCTCTTATTAGGTACATGAGAAGTTCTCTGGATCTTACTTAAATCCTGATGTTACACATATAATAAAACTGAGGCAAAGAGAGATTCAGTAAATCTCCCTACTTTCATCAGCAAGCAAGTGGGAGAGCTAGGATGCAACGTCAAGCAATTCAAAGTAATTCAAAGAGCAGAGGGCTAACTATTGGCTAGAGGCACTCAGGAGTGCTTGTTGACTAAACAAATGGATGCAGAGACACCTGTTATTTGGGAAAATGCCCTCTCTATGGGGGTAAGGGTGATGTCAGTTTGCTAAGGACCCAACACTAGTTGAGAGGCAGACCTGGGCATATGGGGTTTCCAAGACTACATCATCATGTCATGTTTTTCTATCTTATGCTTTCTCTTAGAATGTTGTTTTAGAAAATCAGTCACTATGCTGTGAGGAAGCTCAGTCTGCACAGAGGAGGAGGCCCTCAGACTGGCATTGGATAAATAACACTAACTTGCCAGTCATGGGAATGAGCCATCTCAGATATGGATCCCTAGCCCTAAATTGTGCTCCCCAAATGACAACACATGGACAAACAAAGCCTTCCCTAAATTGCATATTCGTGAGCAAAATAATTGTTATTTTAAGCCACAAAATTTAAGAGTTTGTAATGCAGCAGTAAATAACTGGAACATTTGTCCACCACGCTACCTGATGTCCCTGAGCTTTTGCTTCCTCAGCTGTGAAATAAGGATCTAATCAGCAGACCAGAGGGCTATTGTTCTACAGATTCATAAAGAGGAAATCTACATATTGTGGCACAGGTAGGTACTCAGCTGCCTTTCTCCTCGTGCCCTCTGCAGCTTCCCTCCCAGATTAGACAAAGTAACCAGAAGTGTTTTATATGTA